CCCCCCCCCCCCCCCCCCGGCCCAAATGCTTCCTCCATCACCATCATTAATTTAAACACAAATTTAAATTTTAAATGATAAAAAAGAAGAAGAAGATAAAACTACATAGTCTAATCATTAAAATACTTTTATATCTCAGGAAAAATATTGCGAAGCCCATGTTTAAGCCATATTCTCTAAAAAACTCGTACGAACTGAATTTTTTTCTACTTTTTAATCACACATTTTTCAAATAAAAAATATCACTATTACAAAATCTATTCTATTGTTTCTTTTTTATGAAAGGTACAAAGGTCATTTTAATCAAAATTTGATTTTTTGTACAATCAAAGTGATATTTTTCGTGACCAAATGACCTCAAGCATAAGCATTTGAAAGCTACCCTATAAAGTTTAGTGGCCACAGTAAGACTAAGTAAAGAGTTCGATGGTCATGGTGAAACAAATTAAAATTTGATGACTATGATGACAATAAAAGTTTGGTAGCCACAAGTGAAATTAACCCTGTGAAAATAAATTCAATTTTCCATTATTTTCTTAATTTCTAGTATAAATGAATAGAATGTTGTACCATGTAGGGTCGAAACAAGGTGGACGATTTTACTCCATACAGTCCTATTCAAGTTATGATAACATAGGAGTTGAATATTAATATCCTTTCCTTATATCAAAATTGGATTTTAAATGTTGACACTAAGGGTGGACATTTTTCTTAAAAATTGGAGGAAGTATATATAATCAATAGGTTCAGCTTTGATTCTTCTACTAAATGAGATTTTGGGATCATGCGTCGAGAACTGCCGATTCGAGTCCAATTCTCATTGTTACTTTAATTACCAATAATGAATTCGGTTATACAAAATTTCTTTTTGTTGGTGCATTGCATCAAGATACATAAGATATTTGAACACTATACCTCAAAATTATCTTACGCCAAAATTTCATTTTCCATACGCTTTTTTCTTTCCTTATTTAAAACTAATTTTTCTTCAATTTCATTTCCACCTATACAATGTATGGACTAACAACTTTTAAACAAAAATACAATATAAAAATGAGAAAGAGGTATGAAAGAATATCCAAATTTAACCTCAAATATGAACGATAACAAAGATAACATCTTCTTCCTTTACTCCCAACCACCAAAGCAATCACCACGTATGCCACAAGTCATTTTCATCTAACCTAACCCCCTATCTCTAATAAAGCTATAACCACCACCACAACGCTTGCAACGAATGCAACAGCTCTTCGAGATCATTGATTTCTTTTGTAAGGGACAGAATGTAGGGAGTCATGAAAAAGAGGACATGCAAAGTATAAAAGATATTTTAATGTAATAAAACAAATATTCTTCGTAGAAGTACTCTGACCAAAATGATAATGGATTAAGGTTATGAACTTACAATCGAGGGATATAGTTGATTAAATGATTAAATGTTCATTCATGATCAAAATAGGGTTCTATACATACTTAAGAGGTCATTTAATGTATCTAAATATATACTATAATTCTGTATGAATTTCTATGTGCTCCATTCCATTCAGGATTAGGATGATGCTCTCGTTATTTGTGTCTCAATTCATGTTAGAGAAAAAGTTTGACTGGTCACTTTTTATATATAAAAATGTAAGACATTTTCAGATAATTCAAATCAAAATAATTGAAGACCAGTCAACGGATTCGGGGCCTATCAATAAAAATAAAGAAAATTACCCTAAATTCTTCATTTTAAATATCGATTCCAAAAATCAGATGTTTGTATTTTTTTTCAATGATCAGGTATAAAAAATTATTTATAAAATTTCTCCTCTCCCCCCTCCCCAATAACGTTTACCCTCCCACTATCGGTTACTATCCACACAAATGATTGAGCAGGCAATGTCATCTTCTTCTCTGGCACAGCCACCAATGACCACGCACAGATTTATCTATTTACAGGCAGATCAAAACTCCGCATTTTGAATATGAGCTTGATTGGCGGCGACGAGGAGAGGATAAATTTGGGCAGTGTGTTTTGGAGGCAAAAACGTGAAGGAATCGACCAGTAATGGTGGGAAAGATACTCCGGTCTGAGATTTGTTTTATATTTGTGGGTAATATGGTGTTGGTGTTGATTTTGGATTTGATGTGGATGTGGTGGTGGTTATGGTGGCCACAGCACTATAGGCGGTGCTGATGCTTGTGGAGTTGGTGGAGGTTTTGGTATAGGTGGTAACGGTAATGGTGATGGTATAGTGGTTGTTGATTTTTTTGGGTCTTATATTGGGTCTCTCTCACCCCAAAAGTTGATTCAAGAGGTAAGGCTTTTCCTCACACTTATAAACTGAATACCATATCAACCCCATTCACAATCGATATGGGACAACCTCAACAAACTCTCCCTCATACATCGGGCTTTGTGGACAACCAAACACGTATCCTCCCACACATCGGGCCTTGCGGGAGACCAAACCCTCCACACAACGGGGCCTCTCCCCTCACACAAACTCGTATCTTCGTGACTGTTGTGCTAGAGACTTGTTGACAAATTGGGCTTTGATATCAATGTTGGGTGGTATATTGGGCCTCTCTCATCCCAAAAGCTAGTTCAAAAAGTGAGGCTTTCCTTCACGCTTATAAACTGAATACCAACCCTATCTACAATTGATGTAAGACAACCTCAATGGATTTGAGGAGACAACATCGTTTTGGATGGTATCGGCAATGGTGGAGTGGGTGGGGTGATATCAGGGGCGGAGCCCCATTAGGATGCCTGCACTGAATTTTTAGGCTCCACTAGGCCCAAATTTTTTTTTTTGAAAGCCTAGTTAACAACCAGATGGAAGCCCAAGTAACCACATCCCATAACTCGTACCGACCCAAACCCATCATTCAATTAACTTGTTTGAAATCAAAATCAAACCAAACCCTTAATCGCGTCTCTCTTTCCATCTCTCAACTCTCGCTTGCTTCTCTCGAAGCTCCGCCCGTCTCGCCGGCTACTTCTACTTCCAGTCCACCGGTGGCCTGCATATTCTAGGTTAGGGGCTTTAATCTCCGACCCTATAAGTGTATCAAATATCCCCATAGTCGAAACCCCAATCCTCCCCTGCCCAAGTCCGCAGGCCGCAACGAACTGCCGTCTGCCATCGCCTCCCGCCAGGCGCCACCGCACGGTCCGCACCAGCTGCTGCCTCTAAAGAAGGTAATTAGATGTTCTTCCAAATTCCAATCTACATAGCCATTCGGTGTGAGATACAAAGACCGAAAGACTAAATAATTTTATGGCTGCTGCTGCCTAATTTTCATTTTATCGGTTTTGCCTGCTGTTGGGATTGGGGAAATAATTTTGCTTGTCTAATTAATATCTTTTTTTCTTTCCTTGCAGTTGCAGATGTAGCTTCTATTTGTTGCAGTCTTGGAGATTCTCATTCTCACACTGTCACACAAGGAAAACTTGGTATGTGAATTAATACTGTGAAATTGGATTAATAGTGTGAAATTGTGAATTGTGAATTAGATTGTGAAATAGTATAAATTGCATTGTGAATTTACGATTTGGAAGGTGAATTGATATTGCGAAATTGGATTGATAGTGTGAAATTGTGAATTGTGAATTAGTTTGTGAAATAGTATAAATTGCATTGTGGATTTATGAATTGGTATTGTGAAATTGGATTGATAGTGTGAAATTGTGAACTGTGAATTAGATTGTGAAATAGTATAAATTGCATTGTGAATTTACGATTTGGAAGGTGAATTGATATTGTGAAATTGGATTGATAGTGTGAAATTATGAATTGTGAATTAGATTGTGAAATATTATAAACTGCATTGTGAATTTACGATTTGGAAGGTAAATTGATATTGTGAAATTGTGAATTAGATTGTGAAATATTATAAACTGCATTGTGAATTTACGATTTGGAAGGTGAATTGATATTGTGAAATTAGATTGATAGTGTGAAATTGTGAATTGTGAATTAGATTGTGAAATGTGAATTGCACTGTGAATTGAGATTGTGAAATTGTGAATTTATGATTCTTTTGTCATTATGAGTTATTCTCACTCACTCCCAGTAATAATTGGATATCAAATGTTTAAATCCAGATATCAAATGAACAGATACTTTCAACGAAAAAGGAATGTAGATAATATTGATGAGGGGGTATCGAATGATGTGGAATTTGATGTCACAAAACTTCCAACTGATCTTGGTCTAAGGATACCCATTTTGGATTACAATGCTAACATCCGAGATGAAGTTCGAAGAGCATAAATCTTAAAGGGTCCTTGTCAGCCCCAAGATCATGACTTCCCAAAACGACAATTTGGAGTAACAATTAGACGATTCAATCCTTTGTTGTTTAAAAAGTTCAGTAGTTGGTTGGAGTACAGTGTAGAGAAGGATGCTGCTTATTGTTTGTATTGTTATCTTTTCAGAACAAGTTCTGGAAAGCAAGGTGGCGATGAGTCTTTTGTTGGTGAAGGTTTTACATATTGGAAAGATAAAAAAAAGTCTTCATACTCATGTTGGACTTCATGATAGTGCACATAATCAAGCTCGCATTAAGTGTGAAGTGTTGATGAATCAAGAGCAACACATTCAATCAGTTTTCTACAAACAATCAGAACAAGCAAGAAGTGCATATGTTACACGTCTTAATGCATCCATTGATTGTGTCCGAGTTCTTTTGCGACAAGGGCACTCATTTCGAGGTCATGATGAATCTGAGGATTCTCTCAATCCAGGTAACTTCTTAGTGCAATTGCAATTTTTGGCTGCTCGTAATGAAGCTATTAATGCCGTTACATTGGGAAATGCTCCTCACAATTGCAAATTGACATCACCTAATGTTCAAAAGGATATAGTAAATGCTTATGCTATTGAAACGATCAATATTATTATCAAAGATGTTGGCGACTCACTATTTTCTATTCTAGTTGATGAATCTCGTGATGTGTCAATGAAGGAGCAAATGTCTATTGTTTTACATTATGTAGACAATAGTGGGCATGTCAATGAACGCTCCATAGGGATTGAACATGTTACAAGTACCACGGCTCTATCACTTAAGGCTGCAATTGATAAGGTATTTTCTAGATATAACTTGAGCATGTCTAGATTGAGAGGACAAGGTTATGATGGAGCAAGTAATATGCAAGATAAACACTAATTTTGAAGGAGAGTTCATGTGCCTTTTATATTCACTTTTTTGCTCATCAACTCCAACTTGCGCTTGTGGCTGTGGCAAAGAAGAACATCCCTATTACTAACTTCTTTCGTGTGTTGGGGACGTGATAAATACTGTTGGAGCATCTTCCAAATGTTGTGATCTTCTTCGAGAAAAACAATTAGACTTTATTGTTGAGGCATTGGAAAAATGTGAGATTTTAAGTGGACGGGGACTTAATCAAGAAACGACCCTTCAGCGCTTTGGTGATACACGATGAAGTTCACATTATAATTCTTTGGTCAGCTTGCTTGTCATGTTCTCTTCTGTTTTAGATGTACTTGCAATGATTGTTGAAGATGAATCTTGTTCTTGTGATCAAAGATCTGATGCACCAAATTTATTGGAGTTGATACAAAAACTTGATTTTACATTTAATCTACAGTTGATGAGAAGTGTCTTGGGGATATCAAATGAACTGTCAAAGGCATTGCAAAGGAAAGATCAAGATATTGTGAATGCAATGCAATTGGTGAGATTGTGCAAACGACGACTCCAAATAATGAGAGATGAAGGGTGTGACTCCTTTTTGGAAGAAGTATGTTCTTTTTGTCAACAACATTATATTCATATAGCCAACATGGATGATATGTTTGTACGCCTTGCACTTCGTGGTTGCCCTCAGCGTAATTCTCTAGAAATTACAAATTTACATCATTATCGAGTACATTTGTTCTATTCCGTCATCGATTTACAACTTCAAGAATTGAATGATTGTTTCTCGGAGGTAAATACAGAGTTACTCTTTTGTGTAGCTTGTTTATGTCCACAAGATTCATTTTCTTCTTTTGATAAGAAAAGCTCGATTAGACTTGCTGAGCTTTATCCATTAGATTTCTCTGCAGTAGATGTCATTGTACTTAACGATCAATTTGAGACTTATATTTTTGACATGCATTCTAACAAAGAGTTTGAAGGGTTGAATGACCTTGGTGATCTTGCGAAGAAGTTAGTTCTGACAAAGAAAGATAGGGTATATCTATTGGTTTACAGACTTTTGACTTTGACATTAATTTTACCGGTTGCTATTGCTAATGTGGAGATAGTCTTTTATGCAATGAGTATTGTAAAGGATAGATTGCGCAATCGGATAAGTGATCAGTGGATGAATGATAGCACAATTGTTTATGTAGAGAAAGATATATTTTTGAAACTTGATAATGAAGTTATTGTACGACGATATCAAAATATGAAAACTCGAAAGGAATAAGTTTAATATATAAATTATGTCGTTTTTAGTATTGTTCTAATATTGTTTTATTTTTTTATCATCATTAAATCTATGATCAAAATCTCGAAGTTCGGCGTCAAAAAACGATGCCCGCACTGAATATAAATCCTGGCTCCGCCCCTGGGTGATATGGGGGAGATGAAAGGTAATTTGCGAACAGTTAGTTATTTGGATAATTGTGATCACTTAATTCGATAATTTGTGATTAATATAACAAGTTGTGACCAATTAATTTAATTATTTGTGATCGAGAAATAAGTCGTAATCAATGTGAATGATAATAGTTGCGATCAATTAATTTGATAATTTGTAATTGATAAATAAGTTGTGACATATAAGGATGTGTGATTTGTGACTAATAAGTTTATAATTGTTATTTACATTTTATGTATTTGTAATTGTGGCTTTATGTAATAATAAATTATTATTTGAGCTTATCTATTTAACTAATACTACTTGATTTTTGAAAGAATGTGTCAAAAAAGGTTGGTAGTTATGTAATTTTTCATAAAAGAGTTATTTTTAGTACAAAACGTCATTACCTTTCTATTTTTGCATTTTCATCCCTATTTACACATTTCATTACGGAAATCATCATTTTCATTCATTTTAGGGTAATTATATTACCACTATAAATTTTACTAAGTGCACCACAATTTTCTTATTTACTAAAATATTCTTAAGTAAAATTACACAATTAGAATTTTAATATACTTTTTAATTAATTAAATTATAGTTACACCACAATTATAAAGCCTAATTTCTTTCTTTCTTTTTCCTCAACATCTCATTGCTAATAGTTTTTCCGACGGTTTTTGCCGTTTTTTACGGCGCGACAAGTTAATCTTTTTCCTCACAAACAATGAATTTATTTTTCAAGTTTGAAAATTAAGAATTTGATTAATTCTCTCTCTCTCTCTTTTTTTTTTTTTGTTGAGTTAAACAGATTTGTTATGATTTTAAAACAAATATGTAAGATTGTGATTTTTAATTGTTAAATGGGTTTATGAATTTACGCATATATATACTCATTATAACTTCATGAATTGCGTGCATTCATCATGTGGGACATACACAAGCTGCACCATTCATTACCATGAATTGCATGTATATAAATATATTGTAAATGAATTTGTATATATGTAGGTGCATCAGTTTTCGTGGATTTTTGTTTACGAGGTATATGAATTTTTGAAAGCTGTTCTTGATCAGCAAGAAATTTTTATTGTTATATTGTATTTTTTACAAGATCGTAATAAATTTAATTTTTTTTTAGAACTTATCATAATTCAATTTATTGTCCTAAATGTTAGGAAAATGATGACGACTTTAATATATACGATTATACACAATACTTTTCTACTGACCAAATATGAATAAATTGAATATTAAATTTATGCATGTTAATTCAATTATGAAACATGTCCAACTTATCAAAAATATGTCATAAATGCTTCTTCAAGTTGAGTTTTAAATGTGTCCGATGAATTATTAAAACCTTTTTATCCATGAAATTATAAAGTTGTTGTCGATAAAATTTCTTAATTTCCACTTAAAAGTGTTTCCAAAATAGACTTCTAAGATTAAAAATTGAAATTGCAATACATTAACAATTTATATTTCGAAAAAAAAATGGTAACACAAACAAATTACGAACAACTTCAAATGATCCTTTTGGATATATTAATTATTTGTGAAAAACATTCAATTTATTATGGCATGATGTTTTTCACCGATCTTCTAATTTCAATTGCTATGAAATAAATGAGGGAAAAGGTTGAGAAAATGAGGATTAATATTGGTGATAAGTACACCACAATATTATATTATTTTCTTTTTCAATTTTTTAATTTTTGTTGAATTAGGAGTGTAATTGTAAATTTATTGTGGTGTATTTGCTAAAAATATACTTTAATTGTGGTGCAATAATTAAAATTTATAGTGGTAATATAATTAGCCTTCATTTGATCAATAAAAAGTTATGAAATAACAAATATACCCTCCTATTTAAATATAACAAAAATAAAAAAATAAATAACTAATTGCAATCATTATCCTAATTTTTTCAAAAAATTACAAACGAGTCCCAAATAAATAATTAAAAATCAAAACTAAGAAAACAAAAATCACTCCATCTTCTTCCCCTACCTCACGCCACCCCCACACCCAACCATTTGTGATTTCAGACAATCTAACTGGAATTGGACCGGATAATCTATTGGAGCTCAAACAAAGCCTCTTTAGCCCTTCTAAGCTTTCAGAAATTTGCCCATTTAGTCTACTGTTTTCGAGTGCAAGAACACTCAACCTTTTTAAGAACCCCATTTCTTTTGGTATGTTCCCTGTTAACTGGTTCGAACACAGTTGAGCACTGAAAATACTACAAATTTAAATCATATAAAATAGAGTAAGAAAATTATCAAATACTGAATGTAAAATATCCCTTTCCTAGATGCATATTGCTAATTCAAATCTTAAGCGGTATCAAATCAAATGATTGGAAACATATAGATTTTTGGAGAATTAATAGTTAATTTTGTATGATAATTTATTACTTTAAATCACTGGATCTTTATGTGGATCATCAAGAAATCTAAGAATTATAGCGGAAGCATACCTAAATCAAAATAATTAATGCAATAATCGAATCATGTAGCTTGGTCTTCCAAATCAACACCTAGTCTCCTTTTTTCTTTGTGATGGGATGCAGAAGAGAATGAACAATACAATACTTTTTCTATGTGTGATCTGGGGATCATAATCATATTTATATAGCGATACCCTTTGACCTAATTCGGCCCATCATTGAATTAGGTGTCTGGGCCCGGTCTCTACACATATCGAACCCACACTTTAATTGGATGCATAACGACCCAAAATCGAAGCCTTATTAGATCACTTTTAACTGAGCTTAACCGAATTTGATAGCCTTTAATTTAGCACACAATTATTCATACATATAAGCCCAATCCATACAATCTCCCACTTGGGTTATATGTGTCACCTTATAATTTTGTATTAAACATAACCTTGTGAGTACTCAAAATTCTACTATCATTACTGAATGCATCCCTAAACAATCCCGGCCATTTATCATATCAACATAGAATCAAAGCGGCTTTTGCTACTTTCATGTAGCTGAACCCATCAATGATTACGTATATCGATATAACTGAATGACATAGATCAAGCATGGATGTATAGCATGAAAATTACATGTGATGTGATCTGTAACATGCTATTTTCAACTGGTCCACCTTAATACCTTAGTGAGATCATTTTAAATAAGTTCAGAGATAATAAACCAAATAAACCTTATAGCTGAAAATAACTTTAACCTTAAACCGTATCCAAAATGACAATATATATGTCTAGCACAAAAATGCAAACTCCCACTGAAATCGAATATCCTTGAGAGACATTACACCCATATGAGCAGTGTGCTCATTAAAGATCTTGGGTGTCAATTCCTTAGTGAGCGGATCCGCAATCATGGAGTTTGTCCCGATGTGCTCTATTGACACCTGTCCACTCTGAACTCTTTTTTTAACAGCCGTGAACTTGATTTCTTTATGTTTCAACTTCGTCAAGCTCTTGTTATTGGAATACAATACTGCTGATTTATTATCAAAAAATATCTTGAGCGATCTTTCTATATTTTCCACGATATGCAGCCCAGTGACAAAATTTCGCAGCCATATTCCACGGTTTGATGCCTCATAGCAGTAGATCTCCTACTATCTTGGCATCCCGCGAAATTGAAATCAGAATAGCTCATGATCTCCAACTGATCCGATCTCCTATATGCTCATATATAGTCTTTTGTTCTCATGTATAACCCATTTGACTGCTTTCCAATGATCCATTCTCGGGTTACTTATATATCTTCCTAGCATTTCAATAATGTACGGTATATCCAGACGCGTACAAATTCGAGCATACATCAGACTCTCTATAGCTGAAGAATAAGGAATCTTCTGCATTTCTTTAATTTTCAAGTCATTTTTAGGGCACTGACTTAAATCGAACTTGTCTCCTTTAGCCACAGGCGTGTCGCCTAGTTTACAATCTTGTATGTCATATCTTTTAAGTACCTTTTCAATATAGCTCTTTTGTGATAATCCAAGAATACGCCGGGAACGATCTCGGTGTATCTGAATTTCCAATACAAAAGAGGCATCACCAAGATCTTTGCTAGAAATCTCTTGATTTCGTGCAATAAACCTATATCGTTGCTAGCAAATAATATGTCATCGACATATAATACTAGAAAAATATACTTGCTCCCACTAAACTTGTGGTATATATAATCATTTACCAAATTAATCTCAAAACCAAATGAGATGATCACTTGATGAAACTTGTAACACCATTCATAGTGGGCGAACGTGGCATAGTGTACTATGGGACGATATTGCATTCCAAGAACCCGTAGGGAATGGTCCACAAATATCCGTACGTATAAGTTCTAAGAAGCCTGAAGTTCTATTAGCTTGAAATCTCCTTTTATTGGTTTGTTTTCTCTTTATAAAATTGACACACAAATCATAATCTTTGAAGTCAAGAGGGTCGAGAACTCCGTCAGACAAAAGTCTCTAAGTTCTCCTTTTGGAGATGTGACTTAATCTCTTGTGCCATAACGAGGCAAAATTCTTGTCGTTAATTTTCGCTTTACACCATGAGTACTTACATGCAATGTTTCATTAAAAGAAACAATTGTATCAATTGAATAAAGATTATCGTAACCTGATAAAGAACCGGAACTAATCAATTTTGGTTCTTGAAACAAACTGAATTTTCCATTCCTAAATGAGCAGAATAACCGGATTTGTTCAAAGTAGAAATAGAAATCAAATTACATCTAAAAGACGGTACAATAAATGTTTCATTAGATCCAAATAAAATTCAGTCTTTAACATAATCTACATTTTCCTATTGCCTCTACTTTTACCGTCTTGCCATTACCAACATAGATGTATCTTTCACTATTACTTGATTTTGCAACTCAGGCAACCTTGCATAGACACACTGATATGAGTTGTTGTACCAAAATCTATCCACCATGTGTGTCTAGATACCGAAATTAAATTAACCTCAGAACAAACCAAATGAAGAAGAATACATTTCTTTCACACGCCATGCGTGATAATTGGTACAATTCTTCTACTTATGACTTGCAGCTCTACAAAAGAAACAATCACCTTCAGTTTGTTCCTTATGCTGTTTCTTTTGTGATGCTGTGCCCGCATCTTCCTTATCAGTTGGCTTTCCCTTTTCCTTTATACCTCAATGAAGTAAGGTTTGCCAAAAGCGTACGAGTTTTAGCATTTTCATTCTTGGCAAATCTCTTCTCAAGGTCCTTAAGGAAAACCTTAGAAGTGTTTACTTCATTAGACATAGTGTCTCGAAATGGTTTTAGAATAGCACGTTTCATGACCATTAAGTTTATGCAGTTCGATCTTTCCTACTTTTCCATCTCTCTCTTGTTATCAGAGGTATTCTTATCAGTAAGTTTAGTAGATTAATCGACCCGTAAAGTAAGATCTAAGTCCATGACTCCGAGAATGATCAATACATTCTCTTGCCATACCTTGAAGTTCGTGCCATCAAGGATTGGAATTGAGTTGATGCTAATAGGGATATTAACAGCAGAGCTTGAAACTGAATTAGAGAACAATTATTACGAATAGCTCACATGGATATCCTTAATATGCAAATAATATAATTCTCAAATAATGGTAGGACCCATCACAAGATACCTAGCAAAACATCAATCTAGTCTTTGGACAGAAATATTGACTTGTAAGTGATACTCTTGGGTAGTGATCAAAGACTAACAATAAATACATGTCGATCAATAAACTTTTCTTTGAACCGATTTATTGATTACACGTTAAACCAAATGATTACCACATGTTTACCACCACAGGTGCATGTGAAATTCGGTCAAATATTGACCTTCCTTTGGGCCGATCAATATTTTCATGAATAACACACACACAAACAAACATATTTTAATAGTCTAAGTTAATCAATTTCCACAAGAGATGTTGCTTTGGCAACATGTTTCTTCAATTAATTAACTTTCGAACATTATATCTCTTAAAAGAGTCTTTAGTACCAAAATTTGAGAAAGAGAATCACCAATTTTGCATATTTTATTTAATTTTAAATTTTAGGGGCCTTAGGTTTAATAATTCAAGACTTTGAGGGGGAAAAATTAATTAATTCTAAACTTTAGGGGCCAAATTAATAAATTTAAAACTTTAGGGGCAAAAAATTGACCAATTCAAAACTTTAGGGGACCAAAATTGATCAATTCAAAACTTTAGAGGCCAAAATTTGATCAATTCAAAACATTAGGGGCCAAAAATTG